GGAGGGGTTTGGGGTGGAAATGGGGGGATGAGGACAATTATGTGATACCATAATCAATAAAAAATATATGCATCTGTGCATTACATTTTAATAAAATAAACATTAGTAAATATTTGCCTTTCTTTTGTTTTTCAACAAAATAAACTTGTCATGAAAATTTTTAAAAAAATGTCCTCACTGCTGTGGAGTCATTTAGCACACGGATGAAGGCTGAGGTGCTGTGGCCTCATTGCCTGGGTTTGTATCCTGCCTCTTCCACTTTGTAGCATGGCCTTGAGCATGTTATCTGACTCCTCTGTGCCTCAGTTTCCTGATCTGAAATGGGTATAAAATCGTACCCACTTGAAGACTTCGATGTGTTAATATGTGTGAAATGCTTAGTAGTGTGCCCAGCACACAGTAACTATGCACTAAATGTGGCTTTTAATGGAGAAGCCACACATTTCACCAATACTTATACATTCTTATATTAATACATGAGGCTTTAAATGCTCAAGTTACTGAGAGGTTTGGCCTTTCATTTTACGTGTGTGAAGTCAATGCATTTGCAGTGGGTTATAAAACAACTACAGCAGTATGAATGGTGGCGGGGGGGGGGGGAATAAAATATTTCTTCCTTCCATTGCGATATTTCTTTCATTTCATTCCCAAAATATCTCAAAAAAAGAGACAATCTTTTATTCCACATTTAGAGAGAAATAATTAAAAAGCACATGGTCTAGAACCGTGTTTCCCAACATGTGGTACGCGTACCCTCAGGGGTACGGGAAGGGTTTGGTGGGGGTACGTGTTGCACCGGAGTTTGGTGGGGATATGCAATGCACCGTGCTTAGCCGTGCCCAATTCTATTAATACGTTCTCATGAGTACGAGGGGTACTCGGCATTACGAACATTATAGAAGGGGTACACATATTCAAAAGTTTGGGAAACACTGGTCTAGAATGTTACTTAACATAGTATGCCTTGATTTATAATAAAATATTAATGGTTGTCAGATCCTATTTAGTTTTGCAAGAGGAGTAGAGGCAAAAGGGGAAGATGTGGGCGGGAGGGTATCCACAGAGAAGAAACAGTTGGAGAAAATGAGAAGCGGAAAGCACAGAAGCCAGTTCACCGCGTTACCTTGTTTCCCAGGTCTGTCCCATTTCACTTCGTGTGAATTCCCCAGATTCCCCAGAACTGAACAAATGTCTTCCCTACATGGGAAAGAAGCCTGAGAATCCACGCTGAGTCCTTTCTCTTGCTGCCTTGTGTCCTCTCCTGGGATGCTTTGAACTTTTAGATGATTTATGTTTACAATGGGATAAAAAAGACATTGTGCTTTTGCCCAAACTTGTCATGCATCAGAGTGAACTGCTCTCTCCTCTTGTCTTCACAGCTCCTTCCCTAGTGGTCCAGATTGCACTTATAAACCCCACTGCCCAGGTAGCCTGTCACTGTCTTAGTTCAGATCGTTATTCTTTGCATGAAAGACTCCTAATTAGTTCTATGCTTCTATTTCTCCTCTCTAGACACTTCTAAATGATCTTCCAAAAATCCCAAGGCACCATGTAACTCCTTGGTTTAAAAATCTCTAATACTTCCCCATCGCCTTACAAGGAAAAACTACTTCATCAGATTGTCTGATAAGTTCATTCCTGAAAGCTGCTTAGCCTGAGATTCATCTGCTGAGTCCTCCCAGCTCTCCCTGAGGCACTGTGCTTTCTCCTCCCCACACAGTTCCCTCCACTGAGAAAGCTTACTCTCTCTCTAACCACCCTCTGTTCTCTGAACAGCCTTCAGGACCCTGATAAAATGTGACAATTCTGCATTTTTTCCCTGGCAGTCCCAGGTGGAACAATCTTTTCTTCTGTGATCCAATAGTCATGTGTTGATTATTTCTCTGAGAATGTTCCAGTTAAAAAACAACAACAAAAAACTTATCTCTTTTCCTATGAATTTCAAGGAAGAATGGAGAGGGTTTGAATCTCAGACACCAGTTTACACCTGAGATCCCACATTCCTGCCTGAAATCCGGCTTTCTAAGGCCCAACTCAAATGCAATTTCCTTAATGGTGCCCTCTCTGATTTCCTTCCACCCAGAATGCTTTTCATTTTCCTTCTTCTTCTTTTAAAAAAATATGTTTTTATTTATTTGAGAGAGAGAAAAGGGAGAAGGAAATATCCACCGGCTGCCTCCTGCACGCCCCCTACTGGAGATTGAGTCTGCAACTCTGACATGTGCCCTGACCTGAATTGAACCAGTGAGCTCTACCCTGTTTCCCTGAAAATAAGACAGTGTCTTATATTAAAATTTGCTCCCAAAGATGCACTAGGTCTTATTTTCAGGGGATGTCTTATTTTTACATGAAGAAGAATATGATATACATTTATTGTTAAAAGAAAATAAAGGAAATTTATTACCTGTATACAGTACGGTAGTATGGTAGTTGTCAACACAAACCAGACAAACTGTGAATCCTATAGTATCAAGAATTTACTCATTTATTCAATGACAATCATGTCATCATCTTCTGGAATATCATCATAACAATCCAATTCCTGAATTTCCTGGTGAATTTCTTGTGACTCCTTTTCTTTCAGAATCAGTGGACCAAATCTCTTATGTTTAGCCTAGAGGGGCCTTATTTTCGGGGGGATGCCTTATATTTCACTCAGAAGGAAAACTGTAAGTAGGTCGTATTTTCGAAGGATGTCTTATTTTCGGGAAAACACGGTAGGTGCCCAGGAGGATACTTAGCCACTGACCCACATCAGCCAGCAGAATGCTTTTTCAAAAAATGAAATCCTATAGAAATTTCTTTATTCCTCTGATCTTGATTTTTTAAAAAAAATCTTTATTGTTAAAAGTATTACATATTGCCAAGACTAGTTTGGCTCAGTGGATAGAGCATCCGCCTGCGGACGAAAGGTCCCGGGTTCGATTCTGGTCAAGGGCATGTACATTGGTTGCGGGCACATCCCCAGTGGGGAGTGTGCAGGAGGCAGCTGGTTGATGATTCTCTCTCATCGATGTTTCTAACTCTGTGTCCCTCTCTCTTCCTCTCTGTAAAAAATCAATAAAATATATTTTAAAAAAAGTATTACATATCTTTCCTTTTCCTCCCCTTGACCTTTCCCCAAGCTGTCTCCTCCTTACCCCACCCCATGGATTTTTATTTATTTATTTATATTTATATATTTATTTATATCTTGTAATTTTAGAAACCTACCTACTTTTTTTGGGGGGTAAGTTAATTGAAATGGAATCTCTGTGTCTTCCCTACATTCCCTGGATCAATGTTTGTGTCCAAAGATCCTTAGGAAGATACTAGGGGCCCAGTGCATGAATCCATGCACCTTGAAAGGAACTGTGGGCCACGAGGCTGCAGCGGGCACAGGGGTGGGTCTCAGCTTGTCCTTTGTGTCACAAGGACAAGGCTGGTCAAGGCTGCAGCGGGCACAGGGGTGGGTCTCAGCTTGTCCTGCTTCGGTCCCCAGTCCCTAACATTTCTTTGATGGTAAAAGTGTGCTCACATTTCACAGACTCTTCATAAGTCCCTGGAGCACCACCTGCTTCTAAGTGGGAGCTGCATAAAATACATTTATGCACATTTCAACTTATTTTCTTATAGAAAAGTTCCAAGCATTATATTTAATGTCTAGTATAAAAAAGATTTAATGGGGATAACCTAAGAAAAGAGAGGAGTTGAGAAAAAATAGGCCAAGAATTAAATAGATAATATAAATATATGTGAAGAAAGGTGTAAAAGCCCAGCTGGTGTGGTTCAGTGGTTGAGCCTGGCGGTCACTGTTGGATTTCAAGTCAGGGCACTTGAGTTTTGGGGCTCCATCCCCAGGAGGGGGCGTGCAGGAGGTAGCTGGTCAATGAGTGTATATTTTAAAAAGATATTAAAAGAAAAGAAAGTTGGAAAAAGCTATGTCAGAATGAAATTGTATTACACTATTTAAATCACACACTTGATGCTCTCTAGAGAGGGTTTATCAATGCATTAGGAAGATAGCAACATTTTACACAAGGAGGAAATTAATCCTGGAGGATAGGCAGCTGAAAGGCATTGGGAGGAAAAATTATTTGGAAATCATTAGACAGCTCCCTGGGAGATAGAATTGGCAAAAAGACTGACTTTAAATCTCCTGCAAGACTGTGGACTAGCTTAATAGATATTTACGTTCTTAGAAAATGTTTCAACACTTAAAGGTTTAGCAAGGAGACCACAAAGCAAGGACATATACGTTTCCAAAATAAACATGACTAATTGTAAAATTTCATCAAATGCAAATGGAAGGAATTTCCTTTTTTGTTGTTAGTTTTTGTTTTTTTTGTTTTTTTCTCTCACATCTTCAAGCTATATGAAGAAAAGACATAGTTTTCCTAGGAGACCCAACTATATGTTTCAGGGTTCCTAAACTCCCTGTCCAGACCCGCAGGCACAATCTGATGCGCTTACGGATTGGTTTTTTTTTACCAAGTGTGCCAAAGTTTTATCAACTTCTCCAGTGTCCATGGCCCTGAAAAGTTGAAGTCAACTGCAGAAGGTCATCTTAAGGGCGCCCATCCAGCTCTCAAGAATGTTTGTGCTTCAAACTGAGATTAAAAAATAATAATAATAATAATAATAATGATAAATAAAACAAAACCCCTTCTTCCACACGAAAAAGAGAGCATCGCTGATTGGAATGGAAGTGATACTCTCTGTGCAGCCAGTCAGCTTCCAAACTCCCCCCTGACCCAGGGCCGGGGCTGCGGGATGCCCGCAGCGCCCCGCGCCCAGGGGCCCTCCCTCCTGCCGGCCCGGCCCGGCCCGGGGGCAGCCCCGAGCGCGGGGAGGAGTGCGAGGAGTGCAATCCCTCCGCTCAGGACTTGGCTCTCAGGCTCCAATCACTAGCGGGAGCTGGAGAGGGCAAGTCAAAAAAAAAAAAAAAAAAAAAAAAAAAAAATCCGGAGCCGCCGCAGCGGAGGGAACAGTCCGGCGCGCGCGGAGCGGCCCTGCAGCCGGCGGAGCGGGCGGCGCGGGGCGGAGCGGAGGCCAGAGCGGGCGGCGGGGACTCGGGGTGCGGGCAGCGCGGCGCCGGCGAGGGGACCCCCGTGCGGAGCGGAGCGGCCGAGGAGGTGAGACCGGGCGTCCCGCGTGCGGGGGGCGGCGGCGCGGGCGGGAGCCGGGCGGGCAGAGGCGCGCGGGGCTCCGGGGAGCTGCAGGGGCGCTCCGGGCGGGGGTGCGGGTGCAGGGGGGTGAGGACGGCAGGGACAGGGGGGCGAGCTGCACAGCCAGGGGGCGGGGGCGCCCCGGGAGGGTCCGGGGGTGGCCGCCGCCGCTTTGTGCGTGGGAGGCTCTGCGGGACCCCGCGCCCCCGCGCCCCCCTTGGCACGGGCGGGCGGACACGTGCTCGGGAGTTGGGGGGTCGGGGACGGGGTCGCGGAGCGCACGCGGGGACGGGGACGAGGAGCTAGCGGGGGGCCGCGGGCTCCCGGCTCCCAGCCACCTGCCCCGGACGCCCCGGGGACCCGGCCCCTCCGCTGCGGGCGGGGCGCGGGCTGGTCCCCACTGTCCGCCCCGGACTGACTCCCGGACCCCTGCCTGCCCTTCCCTCTGTCTGTGGCTCCGTCTGTCATGTTCCCGGCGGTTCTGTCTGTCTGCTTCCTCCAGTTCTCTCTCTCCCCCTCTTCCCACCCCTCGGGTTGGCTCTCCCTGGGTCAGCTTGTCCCTGTCTCCCGCTCACCGCCCTTTCCCTTTCCCTCTCCCTGCCCGGCTCCCTTGGTTTCTCCCTCTCCTTATCTCTCCCCCTCTCCGTCTCCTCTCCCACACTCTCGGACTCTCATTCAGAGGCTGACGGTGGGCTCCTTGTCTCTCCTTTCTCCCCCCTCTGGCCCTCTGCGCGCATCAGTCCGCTGGTCCCTGTGTCTGCCCGGTCTCTGCGTGTCTGTCTGGCCCCTAAGGTGATAGGGTTTGGGACGTGGAGGGAAGACCCCCCTGGAAGTTGCCCTGTGCGTGTCTTACTCCTCCTGAGCCCCTCTCAGCTGGATGGGGCCCGTCGAGGTAGTTAGTCCTTCTCCCCAGGAGGGGGACGCTGTGCTTCCTTGAGTTACTGTTCGTAATGGCTCTGGTCATCTTCCCACCGAGGTGAGGTCAGTGACTGAGCCGCCACAAAGGTGCCCAGGGAAGGAAAACAGAAGCAGAGGTGCTGCTGAATTGCCTCCAGCATGTACCCAGCATACCTGCCGCGAAGCACAGCCACCTGGGAGAAGGTTACTGACTTCCCCCCAAAACACAAAAAAAGGCTCCACCACAGCTAGAAAGTATTTGAAAATAATTGGAAAAAGCACCTACGAAAATTTCCTGCTTTACTAAACTCATGCCAACCGATACCTGTTTTTTTTTTTTTTTTTTTTTCTTTCTTTTCTTTAATATATTTTTTAGGATCCTGGTGACAACTTTCCCAATTGTTGTTTTGGGAACCTGATGAGAAATGTTGTGTGTCACCTGGGACATTTGTCTTTAAGAAAACATTCGTCTTTGTACTCTTATACCTCTTTACACTCTAGTGATCAAGAAGAATCATTTCCAACTGCCAAGGAAATAGAAAAGGATCTGTCAGTAATTTTTAAAACACGGGACATTCCAGAGATCAATAATTTCTTTGGAAATTTTTCTCTATAACGATGTTTGGAAGGATATTACATCTTAGTGAAATATGCAAGTTATTACACACTTAGATCATTGTGCGACGCAGAAAAGGGTTGTGTACTGTAAGCAAATCATAGTAGTGATTTAAAAAAAATATTTTTTACGGGGAACATAGCTGGGAAATTAATTGCTCTGATTTCCACTGTTTTCTTTAGTCATGCATAATGTACCTTTGTTTTTAGCCAAATATGGCCCAGGGCTACAAAACCTGATACAGTGTGTTATTTGTCCAATCTGAATTACCATTTAGAAAACCACCTTTTCCCTTTTGGTCACGAGATATAAGTTGATATGATCTCATTACTCCAGGGCTGGGGTCTGCTGATGAATTTTAATGGCTCTGCTTTGTGATTTTAAATCAAAATGTTAGTTTTTGGTGAGTTAAGGATCTTGATTTATGCCATGTTCGTGAATCGTCACAATTTCTGGGGGCTTTGCCACCCTGTCCGCCAGGTGCTGCAGCCTGTCGCCCAGGCAGGGCTGCCTGAAGCTCCCTGTGAGAGAACTGTCCCTGAGTGACGTCTGCTTCTGCTCTCGGTGTGTTTATATGCGTCCCTCAGAATGTTCCAGTCATTAAATAGTATTTATGAAAGGGAAATTGACTTAATATTCTACTTCCCTCATAAACTTGGAAAACTGTGTGCAAGATGGCCTGATAAGTTATTTTTATTATAAGTAAATGCTGATTTTATTGTTCATTTATAAGGCAATTTAAAATGTGATATTTATTTATTTATTTATTTATTTATTTATTTTTTTGGTGCGTGTAGCAACCTCCACTCTTCCTCGGCGCTCGACTCCTCCTTATCATTCACATCTGAAGTCAGTTGTCTCCTACTCCAACCTAGTTTTCATCAGACCCCTCATGGCTGCCTCTTAAGCTTCTGAAGTCACCTCTCCGCAGCATAGTTACTTGCTTGGCTCTTCATTGCTGGGCTGTTTTCTCCTTGAGCTGGGAGTAGTATTCCATTTCTTTTCTTCTTTTTTTCTCTCTGAATTTCAGAGACCAAGCAAAGTACTTGGCGTATGAGAAATAACTCAAAAAATCCTTGAAGGATGATTTGTTCTCCAATTTGTCTCAACCTTGCAGTACTAATTCTTTGTGGTTGCTTAAGGGAAGTACTTTAGCTTGGAGTAATCACAGATCCTAGAGCGAAGGATGAAAAGGGCCTTAGAAAGCACCTTGTCACACACGTTAATAAAAGAGATGAAGTAGTTGAGGCCCCAGGAGCTCGGAAACCATGCGCAAAAGTAGGCAGCAAAGCCACCTGGGCTACAGAACTGAGACCTTGTGCTCTTTTTCCAGGGGCCACTGTTCTTTTCACGGGACTCATGATTGCTTTCCTTCACTAGAAATTGATAAATCTGTTGCTAGAAGCTAACAATTATTGTATGAACCCTGGAGCTTTCGCTTCATGCCAATCAGAAAAAGTCATGCATGAAATGTTTCATCTGCAGTTACTGATAATCATTTGTTACACATATGTATGAAGGTAATAGTTGCCTTTTTAGAACACTGACTTCTAAATGCTTTTATGTTTTGAGTGCTGTGTCATCTTGGGCAGACTAATTATTTCTACCTGCAGAGAAGATTTAAGTTCCTGGAGACTTAACTTCTCTCTTCTATAACTTTCTGCCTGTGTGTTGCAGGGGGCTGGGGGAGAAAAGGAAGTTTGGACCAGATTAGGGGTTCTTTTTGAAGTTATTCTTCAGAGACCACCAGTTTAACTCCCGGAACAACTGCAAATTCATCTGTTTTACATATCAGACTTCCTTGTGAGCTTTTGTTTGAAAAAAGGCTAACACAGTTTAAAAAAGGCTTGAAGACCACTTCACTTGATGTTTTCCAATCTGCCTTCCAGTACTTGAGTTTCATAATCAAGATAATTTCCAGCTTTTAAATCTGGGCATCTGGAGGATGGGTGATAAAGGTATTAAGGATATAAGGAGAAACTGAGTTTGCATGAGAGATATTCAGTGTGGCAGATTTGATGCAGTGGCCAGATGGGGGCAGGGAGGAGGTAGGGGGGAGAGGAGGGTGTATGGGCCTGTCTAGAAATATAGATTCAACAGTCATTGAATGATTAAAATTGAGGAAAACAATAACTTTTTAGGTATCTGGAAAGAGAAATAAATTAAGAGTTAAGGGTGGACAAGAGGGACATTTTATGATACTTCTGAATACTTTTTAAACTCACGTATAGTATTAAGATAAAAAAAGAATAGATAATGTGTCATTTGCATCAGACATTAATCTCTTTTCATGATTTTTAGAGCCTCCACTTATATGTCAGTTATCTTAATTACGTTCATTTTTACTTGGAGGCTTGAGTGCCTACTCTTTGCCTGGCATTATTATATGCTGTGAGAACACTCAGCCATAGGAGACCCAAGGTCCTTGCTGTCATTGAACTTGCATTCTAGAGAGTGAAACACAATGAACTATAAACAAGCACACTAGGAAGATCATTGCCAGTAGTGAAATTGTCCTCAGGAAAACAAGAAAGGGTGATGTGACAGCAAGTGCCTGGGGCTACTTTGTACAGGGTGGTCAGGAAGGCTTCTCGAGGAAAGAGCCAGCCCCGTGAAGATCTGGGCGGACTTCCCGGCAGAGGGAACAGTAGGGCTGTCTCTAAAGGAGCTGGGTGCACACTGGGCCCAGGCAGTCAGGGGAAATGGTAGGAATGAGGTCAGGGAGATAGCCAGGCCCATGCTATGAAGTGTGCCTTTTATTCAAAGTACATTTCATTGAATCCCTGGAGCATTTTAAACAGAGAAATGAACAAGTCTGACTTAGCATGTCTGTCTGTAATGTGAGCAAGAGTGTCTGAAGATGACGTGGGAGGCTATGAGACATCTCTAGCTGAGTGTGTGGTGGTTTGGCCACCGGTGGAACTGAGGGAGATTGATCCGACATTGTTCTTATCACAGAATGAGTCATTGGATCAGGTGGCCCGCCCCTCCCTCCCTCCCTCCCTCCCTCCCTCCCTCCCTCCCTCCCTCCCTCCCTCCCTTCTCTCCCTCTCTCTCTCTCTCTCTCTCTCTCTCTCTCTCTCTCTCTCTCTTTTTCTTTCTTTCTTTCTTTCTTTTAAAACGTGATCTACATTACAGCAACCCACTTGTTCAACAGTTGCTTTTACTTTTAAATGCAGACCTCAGCACCTCCAGATCCCAGGTGTCACATAAAGTTCGTGTTCTGGTTACAAGGGAAAGGAAGCAAATCAGAATTCTCTAATCATGTTCCAGTGTCATTTTCTCTACCCCTCAGTGTTGAAAAAATTCACTGTAAAGTCTGTGATATTAGATCTGGAACTCACCTTTCACTGTATGCCCAACTCTTTGCAATGAACTAGTATACCATAGGCATTCGGTAAGTATTTATGGAATGTTGTTGGATGTAGTCTGTTAGAGACCATAATTTTTTAAA